AATGATGGAATTATAAAGTCAGCACTTGGCAATTGTTATAGGATGACTGACCCATAAAAGAATCATCAAAGCCAATGAGATGGTGCATGCCTATAATCCCAGCACTCAGGAGGCTGAGGCAGGAGAATCACTGTGAATTCCAGACCAGCCTGGGCTACATAGTGAGTTCTAGGGCAGTCTCAACTACACAGTGAAACCTTGTCTCAAAAAACAAAAACAAAATCATCCAAGAATGCTAAAACCAGTGACTACCTAGGAGGCTGAGACAGGAGGATGCAAGTTCAAGACCAGCCTGGGAAAACCAAAAAAAAAAAACAAAAAAACAAAAAAACAAAAAACACTTGCCGGGCATGGTGGCACATGCCTGTAATCCCAGCACTCCAGAGGCTGAGGCAGGAGGATTGCTGTGAGTTTGAGACCAGCCTGAGCTACGTAGTGAGTTCCAAGTCAGTCTCAACTACATAGTGAGACCCTGTCTCAAAAAAAAAAAAAAGACCAGCCTGGGCAACTTAGGAGACCCTGTCTCAAAATAAATGTTTTAAGAAAGGGTTATGGATGTACCTCAGTGGTAGAGCACTTCCCTAGCATGCATGAGACCCTGGGCTCAATCCTCAATACAAGAATAAAGAATATTGAAACTAGTTGATACAAGTTTTAGGAGAACCAGGGTATTTATATGTTATCAAAGTAGCTACATGCTAATTATGTTGTAGAGAATCCTGGTAGATACCATTTTAACCACATTAGTATCAATGGGCCATACAGTAATAAAATATTGTAGACAAAAACAAGTGCTGGTAGAGATATGAAGTCAGGACCCTCATACACTGCTGGTGAGAATGTAAAATGGTACAGCCACTTTGAAAACAATAGGCAGTTCTTAAAGGCCGTAAATAGAGCTGAAAACGTATGTTCACATGAACACTTGTAATAAACTCATAGCAGCATTATTCATAATAGCTAAGTGGAAACAACTCAAATGCACATCAACTGATGTGAATACATAAAATATGGTATATCCCTACAATGATGGGGTATAGAGATAGCTGGGAGAGAGTGGCAGAGAGAGACAGAGACTTACTTTAAGAAATAGGCTCAGATGGGCCAGGAATTTAGTTTAGTAACACCACACCCGCCTCACAAACTCAAGGTCCTGAGTTTGATCCCCGGTTTAAAAAAAATGCTCAAGAGGATTACAGGATTGTAGAAATTTAGCAAATCCAAAATCCTGTAGGGAGTCTGACGGGCTGGAGACTCAGGGAAGATTTGTAGTCCAAGACCAAAGGCAGTCTGTTGGCAGAAATCTTTCCTGCTTAGGGAAAGTCAGTCTTTGGTCTTTTCAGCCTGTTTGAATGAGGCCCACTCACATTATGAAGGGTAATCCTCGTTATTCAAAGTCCACCAATTTAAATGGTAATTAATCCCCCAAAATGCTTTCAGAGAAAAACCTATAAAAATGTCTGGCCAAATATCCAGGCACTGTGGGCAGCCAAGTTGATTCATAAATCAGCTACCACAAATGGAATATTATTTGTTAAGAACAAAAAACATCATGTAGAGGTACAAGATCCCAACAATGAATGTAACTGTACTGTATCCCTAAAACGTACCAGTAAACTCAATTAAAGCTGGAAAAAAAAAAAGAACAAAAAACAATAAAATAGTAGGGCCAGGGATTTTGCTCAGTGGTTTCGCTGCTTGCCTTGCAAGCACAGGGCCCGAGTTCAATCCCTGGTACCAAAAAATAAATAAATACATAAATAGTGATACATGCTACAACATGGATGAAACTTGCTAAGAGAAAGAAGCCAGACATAAATGGTCACATACTACATGATTCTACTTATATGAAATGCCCAGAACAGAGAAATCCAAAGACACAAAGTTGGTTAGTACTTGGCAAGGCTGCGGAGGAGACAGGGAGTGGTTTCTAAAGGGTATAGGGTGACCTTCCTTTTCTGGTTCCAGGTGCTTTGAAAGATGCGGGTTATAGTGCAGACACAGCCAAGGCCAAGAACCTCACTACACACTACCAGTCCCCAATATGGAACAGAAATGGCATTACAAATCCCGATCACATAGCTGGACACGGTGGCACACGCCTGTAAATCCCAGCAGTCATGAGGCTGAGGCAGGAGGATCGCTGCGAGTTTGAGGCCAGCCAGAATTACACAGCAAAAGACCCAAACAAACAACAAGCCTGATCACAAAGATATTTGTGATTTGAGGGTGTAGACTCCAAGTTTCTGAGGAACATGTGTTTTGCCAAGAAGCATAAGTAGGGCCTGAAGATGACAAGGCAAACAACACCAAGGCCAACATGTGCTGAGCGTGTCAAGGCCCACAAAGTTCAATGAGGTTAAGTCTAAGATCCCAAAGGGAGTCAGCCCCAAGCTTAGCTGATTTGCACCCCAAATGCAAATGCCCACCCCAAGCTTGGGAAGTGTGCCTGTGCCCATATTGCCAAGGATCTCAGGATTTGACAGTGAAGATCAAAGCAAATGCTCAAAACAAGGCTCAGTTCAGCTTCTAGCTCAGGCTTCCAGAGGTGCCCAGGGCCCCATGAAGGGTCCATAGAAAGGCTTCTGTCTGCCTGGGGCTGCTGTCTTCCTGTACTGTCTGTATAAATATAAACATCACCAGTTATGGAACAAATCGGCATCGTGTAGCTCCCAGTATGATGCTCTTAGGATACAGAATCACTTCTGTGGTCTTCTTGCAAAACACATAACCTAAATCTAATCATGAGAAAACATCAGACTACCCAAAGTAGGGCTCTTCCCAAGTTAGCCTATTGTCCAAAATCATCAGAGCTGTAACAGGTAAGTGAAAACAGAGAAACTGCTTCAGACAGGAAGCAAATAAATGTAACATGCAGTCCTGGATTGAGCCCTGGACCACAGAGGAAAGGGGGATTACAAAGGACATTGCTGGGGGAACTGGCAACTTAAATGATGATGCCTGCGCACTGGATGGCAGTACAGGGTCAGCATTGGTTTCCCTGCCCTGACAGCTGTACTGTGGTGATGCAGGGAGAGCGTCCTTCATCTTAGCAAATGTGTCCTGAAACATTTAAGAGTAATAGCACATTTACATAACACTCTCAAATGAGTCAGAAAATGCATACACAGCACATATAACCTGTGTATGTTCAGAAAAAGAAAATGATACAAGAAAACAAGATAACAACTGGAAGATCTAGGTAGGGATATACTGGAATTTTTCCTCTGTGCAATTCTTGCAACTTTCCTGTAAGTCTCAAATTATTTCAAAATAAAAAGTAAAATAAAACTATAGAATATAGGGCCAGAGATTTAGTTCTGTGGCTCCACCACCTGCCTCGCAAGCACAAGGACCTGAGTTCGATCCCCACTACCAAAAAAAAAAA